CTGTCTGAATGAAGATGAAAATAGGGCCATGGTTGACTGGTGATGTCTGTGTGGATGTGAGAGCGGAAGAAATTGTGCATGGCTAACTGTTTGTCATCTTCAGTCTAGGACAATGCTCTCATTTGATAGCTGAGGACGTAGAGATTGGGAGAGGTAACAGAGACTTACCAAGGGTTACACAGTCCAGAGCAAAGTGAGAATTAGAATCCCTTCCCTTGCCTCACAAGCAAGTATTCTTTCTACTCCAGCACACATTCTGTAAGGATTGACAATAAACCGTAGTCAGTTCTTACAGTGTCTAATATGGAAAAACACCTGATATCAACAGAGTATTGATTTTTCCATCCACAGTCTTGATGACCGTCACCTGCAGCCGTTTGTTTGTTGTACAAACAAGCTTTTGAGCCTGTTTGTTAGTCCTCATGGGGCTTATCTCAATCTTGTCTTTGAATTTTTGCCCCTATTTCTTGAGCACTTACTATGTGCTTAAAGCTTTACATGTAACACCTTCACCTTCCCCAAAACCTTGTCTTTGTGAATGAGAAAATTGAGTTCCAGTGGCTTACCCAAGATGGTATAGCCAGGAACAGAACCAGGCTCTAATAACTCTTTTCCCTGGTTGCCATGCCTGGTTGCTTGGGTCACTGTGGGTTGTTGTGTTTTGTTTCTTTTTTTTACCAACCCTGTCTGGTATCTTTATTTGTGGAATAGTGTGGGGTGTCAGAAGTCAACAGTGGCAAAACTCCTTGCTTATAGCCCCATTACTGGACATTAGCTGGTCTTTAGGTGCCAGTGGGCAATGACTTCCCTTCATCATCACTCCTTTCTAAGGTAAACATTAGCTTATGGTCAATTCCCAACAACCCAAACCCTGCAGTAGGAAATCTCCCTACTGCCCCAAGCCCTCATGACATTTGTGTCTACTCTAGGAGTTCAAGGTGAAGATCAGGTCTCTGCTAGCCTTCAGGGTGCCTCCCTCAGTGCAGACTAGGAAAAGGCACCCGTTAGTCTGCTAGCGCTGTCATGACAAAGTACCACAAACTGGGCTCTTTAAACAACTGAAATTTACTATCTCACAGTTCTGGAGGCCAGAAGTCTGAAATCAAGCTGTTGGTTCCTTCTGAGGGATGTGAGGGAAGGCTCTGTTTTAACCTTCTTTCCTGGGCTTCTAGGTTGACTGTCTCCTTGCTCACATGGTATTCTTGCATTATCTTCATATTGTCTTCCCTCTATACTCATGTCCCAGTGAACAAAGTTCCCCTTTTTATAAAGATACCCATCACATTGGATTAAGGCCTACTCTGATGATCTCATTTTAAGTTGATCACCTCTGTGAAGACCCTATCTCCAAATGAGATCACATTCTGAGGTACTGTGAGTTAGAACTTCAACATATACATTTTTGAGGGGGGCACAATTTAACCCATAACAGCATCTCTCTGGTCCATGCATAACTCGGTAAGGAAAAACATTCCACTTTTCCCCACCTCAACATTTTATTATGACAGTTTTAAAACACAGAGTCAAGATTTTTAGAGTGGACAGTTTAAATCCACCACCTAGTTTCAGTCATTAACATTTTCCTATGCTCATTTTATCACATGCTCTCTGAAGTAATAGCATCTTTGTGTAAATTTAAAAGGACACTTCTTAGATCAGTTGGACGTCCCCTCTTGGCAAGCGTAGCATGGCCTGGATTTCAGGCCCCGTGATTCCTCCATCCATGCCCCACTGTCCCTCTTGACCCTGAAGGCAATCCTCCAAATAGGCAGCAGGGCAATAGAATATCTACGAGGCCCTGGCTTCTTTTTACAAAGAAGTTTGTAATTAAAAGTTATTCATTGCATTTACAGAGAACTTACACATAGCACAATGGGTAGCCCTGGCCTGGCGTGCGGTTGGGCATTTAGGACAAGATGGTTGGATAAACGATTAACTTAGGATAAGATGGTTGAGTGAAAGATGATTGGTTGACTGAATATACTTTTTCATAAGTTTAGTTTATGTGAACAATGACCAGGAGTCAAAAAAAGTATCCGGACACCAAGACAGGGGGTGCGCTGTCTTGGAAGAAATCCTCCTAGGAGTGGCTTCGATGGCACAATTATTGAAATGGCTCAAGGTGACGATTATCCTGAAGCCCGTTGGTTGGATATTCATGTTGCTTCTGCTGGGTTTCTGCTCCCATTTGGTCCATCACCAGATATTGCCCTGTCCCATGGGAGGAATCTTCCCTAACATGTAACCATAGGGGATTAAAGCTGCATATTTATGGGGGACTCAGCAGGAGCACAATCTAAGGCCAAGAGAGACTCATTGAAGACCTAGCCCATAAGATGAGCAAAACAATATTTATCAGGGCAGTGACTTTGGAGATTGCTGGTGCTCCCCCAGGCTGGAGATTGAGTTAATATTAACAGACCCAAGGTGATGTGGGCTTGCGTAATCCTTGGCCTGGTCATCTCCTCCCCACCTAACAGTCCTGTTTGTCCACTCTGTCTCTTGCACCTCAGCCGCCCTCCAGTTAATGCCCAGGGACGAGCTTGGTAGGCTGGGTCTCTGGGCAACAGCAGATGGTGCTATCACTCTGAACCAAAAATGTCAAATGCCACTCTGCTGCATCAGCATGCTTCCAGTGGATGCCACTGAGTCTCTGGGTGTAGGGGTCTCTGGTGTTTGAATCACTGTCTTTGAGCAGAAGGGCATGTTAGCCCAGAAGTGCAACACACGTATGTGGCAGGGGAGTAAGCTCTCAGGCCTCCTCATACCTCACCTTGTCTCGCCAACCAGTCCCCCTGCCGCTGCCCGAGAGAGCTAACTAAATGCAGTTATGCCCTTGCCACAACCTCACTTAACGACCTTTTCACCCACAGCAGCATTTAGCAAAGTGTATTCCATGGAATCCTAGAGATGATTCATTAAAAGAAAAAAAAAGGGGGCTTTGTGGTCAAATAAGCTTGGGGAAGCACTGCGTCTTCTCCCTCCCACTTGGGTGGTAATATTTGAAGGATGCTGAGAAGTCACACTTGTCCAGAGTTTTGCAGACCCATTTCATCAAGGACTCTTTTCACCCATAACACAAACTAACACCACAGAGAAATATCTTAGGGGGAATATCCTCCTCCCAGACAGAGCCCCTGCTTCTTTGCTTAAGAGAGAACTGCCTCCTTGAACTTTTCCTTGCCCATCCATCTTCCCAATCTAGCATCCCCTTCCATTTGATTCTTAAATTAATATTTAATACTTTTTAAATATAGAAAACCATAAAGAAGAAAACAAATGGTCTATGATTCGATTGCCCACATCTTTATATGATTCTGTCAAAATGTAAATCACTTTGCACCTCTGCTGGATTCCCTCTTGGGGCTCCAGGTCACTTAGAACAAAGGCCGGTCCTGGCAGGTGTACAGTATATAAGCCCCCCCACACCCCTAGGCCAGGAACTGCAGTTAGCATCTCTGGCCTCTTTTGCTTCTCTCTCTCTCATACTCTCCCCTGTTCTAGGCACACTACCTCTTTGTTTCCCTTGACCATGCCAGACATCCTACCCCAGGGCCTTTGCATCACCTTATTCTCTATGTCTGGCTGCTCTTCTTCCAGATACCCATGTGGCTTACTTTCTCACCTGCCTTGGGTTTCTCAGTGAGGCCTTCCCTGACCACTCTGTCTGAGCATGTCTCACACCCCAGCACCCCATACCCTGTCCCTGCATTATTTTTTTGCTGTAAGACTCATTACCTTCCCCTATTCTATGCATGGTATTGACTTACCAGGATTATCGCCTATCCCTCATTGAGCTCCCGTGGGCAGGGATTTTGTCTGTTTTGTTAACAGCTGCACAGCCAGTGCCTGGCACATAGTAGATGCTTAGTAAATAATTGTTAGATAAATGGAGGTGTGTGTTCACAGGAGAAATCATACTTTGTACACTATTCTGTATTTTGCTTTTTACCCTATTTTTTCTTTTAAAGATCTTTCCCTCTCGGCCCATATAGAACTAGCCTTATGATTTTGAAAGCCCGCATGACATTCCATTATAGAAATGTACCTTATTTTATGTAACCAATCCCCTATTGGTGGACACTTAGGGTTTTTTGCTCTTCAAACGATGTTGCAATTAAAAAGAACTTTCCCCCCTACGTTTGTTGTTTGTAAATATTTTCTTATTTTTTAAGATTTTATTTATTTGAGAGAGAGAGAGCACAGAGGGAGAGAGAGAGAGAGGGAGAAGCAGACTCCCTGCTAAGCAGGGAGCCTGACATGGGGCTTGATCCTAGGACCCTGGGATCATGACCTGAGCCAAAGGCAGACGCTTCACCGACTGAGCCACCCAGGCACCCCTGTAAATATTTTCATGGGGCAAATTCCTAGCAGCGAAATTCCTGAATCAAAGAATTTTTTTTTCTACTTTTAGCTTTAATAGATGTCACAAAACTATGTTCCCACAAGATGGCACACATTTCTACTCTCCCATCTGTTGTATGAGAAGATCTGTTTTTTTCACATGGAAATCAGCAGAGTGTTGTCAACTTTGCACATTTATGCTAATCTGATAGGTGGCAGGTGGCACTCTGATCTGTGTTTTTTAAATTATGAGTAGGGTTGAGAATTCTTTTATATTTCCATTGGCCATTTGTATTTATTTTTTTGTACACTGCCTGTTTAAATCCTTTGCCCATTATTTTACTGGGTTACTTGCTGTCTTCCTTATAGATTTGAGAGAGTTCTTTAAAGTTAAAATGATTCTTTGTCATACTGGCTAAAAAATTTCTGATCTTTGGCTTTATGGCATTTTTTTTTTGTGTGGCAGTTGGCTATATATATATTTTTTTTAACGAATTGATGTGACATTATCATTAAAACCATAGAATTAGGAGTAACAGCTAACGTGTCAGGAATTTCACTGGCTTATTTAGAAAATGTTGGTCATACATTATCATTACTATCAAATTTTAAACGAATTTGCATCATGTTGTCTTTCATTGTGAAAGACATCTTACCATTTTGAAGTGTACAGTTCAGCGGTACTAAGGACATTGATGTTGTTGTGCAACCATCACGACCATCCGTCCCCAGAGCTCTTCCCATCTTGCAAAACTGAAACTCTGTCCCCAGTAAACAGTGCCTTCCCATCTCCTCCTCCCCTCGCCCCCGGCCCCCACCATTCTGCTTTCTGTCTCTGTGACTTCGATGCTCTAGGTACCTCACAGGAGTGGAGTTGTACAGTATGTGTCCTTCCATGACCGGTTTATTTCACTTTCTCAACTATGTTAAGTAGAAGAGGCCAAAGCAGGCATTTGGGACTTGTTCCTGAAGAAAACATTCAGTCTTTCCCCGTTGAGTCTGACGTTAGCTGTGCGCTTCCCATACCTGGCCTTTGTGATGTTGAGGGTAGTCTCTTTATGTTCCTCCTTTTTTGAGTGTTTTTATCACGAAAGGGCGTGAAATTTTGTCAAATATTTTCTCTGCATAAACTGTGACCATCATATTTTTTCTCTTCATTCCATGGACGTGATGTATTGTATTGATCGGTTTCCGTATGTTATCCCAGGCTTGCATTCCAGGGATGAATCCTGCTTGGTCCTGGTGTGTGATACTTCTGCTGTGCAGTTGAATTGTCTTTGCTAGTGTTCTGTTGAGGAGTTTTGCATCCATATTCATCAGAGATGTTGGTCCGTGGTTTTCTTTTCTTATACTGTCTTTGTCTGGCTTTGGTATCAGAGTAATGCTGGCCTCATAAAATGAGTTAGGAAGTGTTCCCTCCTCTTCCATTTTCTTGGAAGAGTTTGTGGAGGATTTGTGTGAATTCTTTTTTGTTCCAATACCGTGATTAACAGTTCTATCCATTGCTCAGTGCTCACCATGGTAAGTGTGGTCACCATCTGTCCCCATACAACATTATAACAATATTATTGACTGTATTCCCTATGCGTACTTTCATATCCTTGACTTATCTATTTTATAACTGGAAATTTGTACCTTTTAATCCCCTTCATCTATTTTATCCATCCCCTTATTCCCCTCCACTCTGGCAGCAACCAGTTTTTTCTCTGTGTTTAAGAGTCTGGTTTTTGTTGTTGTTGTTTGTTTGTTCATTTGTTTTGTTTTTAGGTTCCATGTATAAGTGAAGTCATATATATTTGTCTTTCTCTGTCTGACTTATTATTTCACTCAGCATAATACCCTCCAGGTCCATACATGTCATCAAAAATGGCACCCCACCATTCTTTTTTATGACTGAGTAATATCCCACTGTGCATGTATACCACATCTTCTTTATCTATTGAGCTATTCATGGATACTTGGGTTGCTTCCATGTTTGGGCTATTGTAAATAATGCTGCACTAAACATAGGAGTTTATGTATCTTTTCCAATTAGGGTTTTCATTTTCTTTGGGTAAACATCCAATAGTGGAATTACTGGATTGTATGATATTTTTATTTTTAATTTTTTGAGGAACCTCCATATTGTCAATGGCGGCACTAGTTCGCATTCCCACCAACAGTGTACAAGGATTCCTTTTTCCTTGTCTTTTTGATACTAGCCGTTCTGGCAGGTGTGAGGTGATATCTCATTGTGGTTTTGATTTGCATCTTTTCATGTGTCTGCTGGCCATCTGGATGTCTTTGGAAAAATGTCTACTCAGGTCCACTGGCCATTTTAAAATTTAATACATTGTCTTTTGGTGTTGAGTTGTGTAAGTTCTTTACATATTTTGGATATTAACCCCTTATCGGATATGGCATTTGCAAATACCTTCTCCCACTCAGTAGGTTGCCTTTTTGTTTCGTTGATGGTTTCCTTTGCTATGCAGAAGCTTTTTATTTTGGTGTGGTCCCAATGGTTTATTTTTGCTTTTGTTTTTCTTGCCTGAGGAAAACTATGTTCCTAAGGCTGATGTCCAAGAGATTACTGCCTATGTTCTCTTTTAGGAGTTTTACAGTTTCAGATCTCATATTTAGGTCTTTAATCTATTTTGAGTTTATTTTGGCATATGGTGTAAGAAAGTGGTCCAATTTGTGTGAATTTGTGTGAATTCTTCTTTAAATGTCTGGGAGAATTCAATAGTGAGGTCATGGAGTCTTAGGCTTTGCTTTGTTGGGAGGTTTTGATTATTGATTCAATCACCTTCCTAGCCTTGCCTCTTTCCCTCTTTGCCTGTTACACTTCTACCAAAATCTAAATAATTAATTAGGTGTCCTGTCCCACTTCCCAAGAAGCCATCTCCTGTCATTGCTGGCTTTCTATGTCTGCTTATTAAACTGTGGGTTTCAGCCAACATTTCACCTTGCCTAGCACAGTGCCTGGACAGTGTGCATGCTCAATGCATATGAACTAAGTGGATACATGAACAGTTGTTGTGACCTGGATTCCACACATATAAAGGGAGACCTCAAGACAAGAATATTAGGGATGTGCTCATCACACTCATGCTTGGGCAGGTCCACCATTCTTTAATGTCATCTAGGGAGGGGGGCCTGGCCTGGGAGGGGATGGTCATTTTTTGCATGGGGTTCACCATCTTTCCCATGAAGAGGGGAACGTTGGTGTTCTCATCCTTGATGATGACTAAGAAGGGCTTGTTGAACTGGATGGACAGATGCTTAGACCAGATGCTCTCTTCTGAAGGGGTGGCTCCAGAATATTCTGTCACATTCTCATCGAAGCTCAGCACAACCTTATGCATGGCCTGGAAGGGAGAGACACAGGGGCCTACTGGAAGCAGAGACAGGCTGCACCAGCCCCCACGCAGAGCTGGGAGCAAGGCCAATGTGATGAAGTGAGAGCTGTCGTGGGGGTTCAGGGAAGGGATCTTTCCAAATGCCCGTCAAGGACCTGGGTCTTTCTAGCATTTCGTTGAAATAAAAATGAAAATAATGACAAATAAGCAGAATTGCTAGTTGGGTGCAAAAATGCCATTTGAGCATTTTTATTAAAGGATCACAAAATTTACAACTGAATCATCATGGTGTATATAGTAGAAAAAATATGACTTTCCATCACAAGCCCCTGGGTTTAAATCCCATTTTCCCCCCTAACTAACTGTGTCACCTCAAGGAGATGACAACTCATCTTGAAACCTTGGTTTCCTAAAGGGGAAGATGAGAGCTATCCAATATGGACTCCCAGGACCACTAAGGTGCTTCATGTGAGGAGCCCTGTTCAGTGTAGGTGCTCAGTAAATGTGTGTGTGTGTGTGCATAACGTATGTGTGTGTGAGAAAGGTGTGTGAGTGTGTGTGTGTGTGTGTGTGTGAATGGGGACTAATAAGTCAGAGTTCTTTAGCTGGTAATTATGGGCTCCTTCAATAGGTCATGCTTACCCAACCGCCTCAAGGACACTTCTCCTTAACCTTTCCCTCCCCGGGGGCTGGCCCCTTCTCTGTGCCTCATTATCATACTCAGGCCTCTCTCCTCACCTGGCCTGTCTTTCCCCATCCCCGACCTCCCTCCCTACAGGCAACACACA